AAACGGCCTATTTTTGTTGCAATAAACGGAAGAATAAATCTGTTGTATTATTTTATATATATAATTGTTTTTATCTATGGAATCCTATTTTAATTAACATTTAAATTGAGCTCGTAATCACAAAAAATAAAATAGAAACAATTTTATTCATACAAAAAATTTGCTAAATCCACTTAAATTTTGAAAATACAAAAATTAAAACCTGCTAAGTTAGAAATTCGCCAATAAAACCATAAAAACGTAATTTTTTTCATTCGTTCTGGATTAGGGCCATAGAACGTCGCTCGATTCACAAACTATATGTAGGATTTGCCCCTTAGACTAAGATTTAAAGATATATTTAGTTTTTTGCTTCTACAGTAAAATATGTTTTTTGGTCGTTAGCAGGTTTACACTCTGATGCGACTTTGTACTATTAAATTATTATTATTAATTTATTGGCGAATTTCTAACTTAGCAGGTTTTAGCTTATGTATTTTCAAAATTGAAGTGGATTTAGCAGGTTTTTTATATGAATAAAATTGCTTCTATTTTATTTTTTGTGATTACGAGCTCAATTTAAATGTTAATTAAAATAGGATTCCATAGATAAAAACAACCATATATATAAAATAATACAACAGATTTATTCTTCCGTTTATTGCAACAAAAATAGGCAGTTTATAATACACATATTATTAACTATACGTGAAGTACTCCTCTCTCCAAATAATGTTAGTGTTTGGCCGAGCTTCTCCTCCAATTTGTGGTGTGCGCTTTGATGTTGTCACACAATGTTGTCTTACATAATTCATGTATTTATTGTGGAATTTTTTTTTTTGTGTTAAAATACAGATAAAACTTTATTTATTTCATTTATGTTCAGTTTTACATGGAAGTGTTGAAGTGAAGTAATAAATAGTTTTTTTTTGCTCAATAATGCCTCACTGGATTTTTTATGCGGGTTTTTAGAATTTTTTACATGGAGTATCCGAATTTATGCGGTTTTAGAAAATGCTGGAACGCATCCCCCGTTTTTGTATGAAAGTAAAGAACTTTTTTATGCGGATTTTTTTTATGCGGCTTTCTGAGGAACGCATGTACCGCATAAAAAGAGACCTATGTAAGTGTACTCGACAAAAATATGTTCTGACAAAGAGAGGTACATAAAAGAGGATTACTACGTTGTGAAACTTCCGCAAGTAAAAGGTTCCTTCATGTGCAATTTTCAAGTATTTTAAGAAGACTTCGTTTGAGAGCATAATTTTTATGTAAGAAATATGATATGTCTCGTGCACATAAAATATATTTACGTTTCTTTTCATATGTTTTTATATATATACAGGTATATATGTACATACATACATACGTTTGAGTTTCTTTAAGGTATTTTTATGTCATATCTACCCTCATACTACATCAAATTTAAATAATGAAACGCAATTTTGAAGGTCAGCTTTACCGCATTCGGAAATAAATGCAAATTTTTACATAGGGTTGCCATCTGTCTGAAAACAAAGTGAATAAAATATTTAAGTGGCGTAAAATTTTGCAACGCTTTTATAGAACCAAAAGGCATTTCAGTGCACTTTTATCTAGAGGTAATATTTTTAGTAGGGTTGCCAATACAATATAGAGATTTCCGGGATTCTTGGGACTTGTCGATATAATAATCGATACTTTTATCGGGGTTGTTATCGAATTTTTCATCGATAATTTTATCGACTTTGTTATCGATAATTTATCGATTGTGTTATTGATTATTCAACGATTTTGATATCGACTATTTATCGATTTTGTTATCGATATTATTATCGATTTTTTTATCGATATTTTTATCGATTTTTGTTATAGATTTTGTCATCAATTATTTATCGATTTTGTTATCGATATTTTATAACTTTTTTTAACGATTGTGCTACCAATATTATTATCGATTTTGTTATCGAAATTTGCAACGAAGTTTGTTATCGATATTTTTATGGGTTTTTTTATTGCATCAATTCACCCTGTACCTCTAAAAAAGTTCTTACTTCTAAAAATAACACCTAGGACCTTAATTTGACATATAATTTTTTTAAATTCGAAAGAACTGTGCAGATCTGATCTCCTTCACAAAAAATTGCTTCACTTATTCGAACACGCATATTTTAATGCATAAATATGTGTGTATTTCATTTACCGCACTCCCTTAATTTATTTGAAATTGACGTTTTAAACGGGTGGCAACAATCCTACATATTTATTAGAGATGGAGCCTTTTCAAACCAATTTATAGTAATACCCATACTCTAATAACTGATCTAACTTATTAAATAATTTTAGTAACAGGTGGCAACACTTAAAAAAAATAAACCTTAGTAAACATCTACAGGCCAAGCGCTTTAATATCACGCCTCATTTTTGGAAATCGAACGAATGCAAAGCTGATCCCATTCAAAAAAAAAAATGTCTTCGCGTGTTATATCTATTTAAGTAGAATCCAAATCCATAAAGAGAACATAAAATTTCACGTGCAGTTTGACCTTCCTATGTGAAGTTTCCGAATACTACGTTCAGGTTTAGTGATACTTAAGTATGTGAGCATAGCGGAACACGTATTTGGTGAAGGAAAGCGCCGTCGAGTAACATCGTTCAGGTACGCTCATTTGGGATGTTCTCTACTTTTGTATCCTTTTTTTTTAGGTACCGCAAAAATGTGTTCCTATTTTTCGATTGAATGTGAGAAGTGCAGCTTAGCTGGGAACTTTGCAGCCCTCTAGTATATATGTATGTACATGATTAGATTAGACTCAAACAAGGAGGAAGGTAAAGTGGAGTATGGAGAAGAAGAAAGGGATAAATACAGAAATTAAAATAAAAGTAAAGAAACCTAAATATGCAGACAAAGGGGAAGGAAAATTTAAATACCTAACCTAATAACAATGGTGGGGGTGAATATGTAAATGAAGAAAAGAATGGAAATATTTAGATCAGGATAAAGGAAAAGATAAAGATGAAGGCCAAGACGAGGAAGAAGATGAAGATGAAGATGAAGATGAAGATGAAGATGAAGATGAAGATAAGCATAAAGATCATAACCCCTTAACTTAACTTAACTCATCCCAACTCATCTCAACTCCGCTTAAAAACATACTCCACCTGGACTCACCACACATTTATTTACCCCACCTTAACTCCCCACACCTATATCCACCACTACTTCACTCCCCACACCTAAATCCACCCCACCTTAATTCCCCACACCTAAATCCACCGCACCTAAATTCACCACACCTCAACTCACCACAGCTAAATTCACCACACCTAAAATCACCACAGCTCTTAAGCCCACCACACCTGAATTCATAACACCGTAACTCCCTCACACAATTACACCACACCGCAACTCAGCACACTCAATTTTACCACATGACATGATATCACTTGATGTGGCATCAATTACAACATCATTTGGCATAAGTGAACCAAAATAAACAAGATTTTTAATCTTGAAGACCCCAAGCATATTGCAATATAATGATGTTTCCATATATTTTTTGGTTTTTGGTATCTTATCTTATATACGAATAGGCAATCATGTTTTCTTTTCACCCCTTTTATGGCTTAATTATACCTCAAAGGTGTGAATAATTATGTATCATTAGAAAGGTGCATCAAAATACATGTGCAGACAATTTTTTAAATTTCAAATTGGGTTAACATAAAGCGAAAAAATCAATTCAAAAGTGACAATACTAATGCCGTACACGTACATGGTTGGGGCGGAAATACCTTCTAAATTTTTGCTTTAATACTGATATTGAATTAAAGAAATCTGCTAAGCACCAGTTTAGGAATCAGATTTATGAAGATTAAGATTCATGCAAGGAAGAAGGTAAAGGTGAATATGTAGAAGAAGAAAGGGATAAAGGCAAAGATTATCGGCGAATTCAGCGTACTTGCATAATTGGTTAGGTATGTGTGTATATGTATGTATGCAGATATTTAAATGCCGGTTTGCTATTCGCGCGACAAGCCTTTTTTAAAAACGAAGTAAATTAGTACAAATTGTTAGTAATTTTCATAAGAGTTTGAATAACTCCTTTCACTAAATGGCTTTTAGTAACTTTAACGAGACCTTAACTTATTTTATTTTATTAATTTTAGTGCAGTTTTGACCAAATTTTCTTGCTAAAAAATCTTTTGTTACACTACTTCATTTTATTCCTTTGATTATACAGGTTAAATAAAGGCTTGTTTCTAAAAAATATATTTTTTACATTATTTTATTTTTACATTACAAACCGTTTTTTCAAAGCAACGCTATTTTTTTATTTGTCAACGCAAAAGTTCTTATATGGAGTTGCGAAGAAAGCCAGGCATTTGCTAGTAGCTTAAAAATTTACCTTATGGTCGTCTCCGCGAAGACGACACCACAGGTAAAAAAAAGAAATCATAGGTTGCGTTTAAATCTGTGACAACAGTAAACCATTAGCAGTTAGCATTTGGAATAATTCTTTAGAAAACTATTATCGATTTAGTTTTCACTATTTACTCTATACTGTTATAAATGCAACCGACTATTCTCTACTATCGCGACAATCTCTGATGTAGTATTTTCTCAGCAAGTGTTCAAGGCATTTCTCGTGTATTTAAGGTGACAATGCAAATAATAATTATCCAAAGAGAAAGTACACCTCGTGGACTTTAAAACAGTGCTGAGTTATTAAAAAAATACATTTATGGTGAGAAGTTTTCAGCTTTCAAAGAAATGCTTATTCGATTTCCCACCCGTCACAGCCAAAATGTTTTGTTTTTCAAACCTTACTTTGCAAATACGAAAGCTTCCCATCATTTAAATAAGGTCCTTGATACTTATCCGATAAACGGTTACGGTTACGGAGAAATTACTAAAAGTTCGTGCAAAAACGAGTTAAAATGTTCCACCCGTCAGGTTGGAATGCCCCTGCAAACATTGAGGTTATCGATTAGAGAATGTTTGGAGAACTAGCCACAATCTGCAATCTCAAACGTTAGAGAACGAGTCGAAAAACTATTGAGAATCATAGCGATCTCAACAAACATGGGACATAGTTCTCGACTCAAGAAAATATTAATTCTCTAATCGAATTGTAATGTTGATCTCTAGTGGGTTTCGAATGTGAATTTCAAACTGCTGTTTTGCTTTATTAAATAAAACGCTTTGTTTGTAAAATTTGTATTAAATGTATTCGCAATAAAATAATAATGAAATATTTGAGCTTAAAAATAATTTATGATTCATACATTTGGAATATTGCTTATTTACATTTATTTGAATTTGCGTTGTATCTCTAATCGTTCTCGAATTGAACGCTAATGTAGTTATCTAACTTCGTCATCGAATTGAGAACGATTAGTGAATTACCTTGGATATCTAATGTAGAAATCCAAATTTCTCTAGCGTTAGAGACTGTGTTTGTTCGTTTTGACAAATAAGTCCATTTTGTAAACTCTCTCCTAAAGCTATTGACTTCGCAGCTGAATTACACCGATTCACTGATCCTAGCACCCATGATAAAAAGATAGAAGGTAGTTTCACTTAACCCTAGAACACACACCCAGAAAATACCACGTAAACACACACCCGGGATACGTTTGTACCCGGGACCTTATTTTGCGGTTTTTTTAATGCTTATTCAACCGATTTCTATGATTTTTTTTTTTGAAATGTATATTTTAATATATAACAAGTATTTTGTCTTTTGTTTCATTCGAATATTCCTACTGGTTCCAGCGATATGGGCAAATAAAGTCAGGACATGCAACAGTGGATTTTTGTTTTTGTTGTTGTCCTGATAAATGCAAAACAAAATAATATAATTTATAATAATATACTTGTAGAGTAACAACGAATACACATTTTGGTTTTTATTTCATTGAAATATTCTACCTGGTTCAAAAGATATGTGCAAAAAGGTCGCGCAAGGTATGGGTACGTAGGTAGCAAATACACTGGTATAACTGGTTTTTGTATTTTATATGCAGCTGCAAGGGTTGTTTTCACACGAGGTGTTGTTATAAATGCTGCCTGTTGATATTTTCATTATTGTTTTGGTGCTCAAAAGTGTAAGAAGTGAAAATATAAGTGAAAATAAATATAACTGAAACTATAAATAACTGGATACGAAATGACTTCAAGAAGAAACGAATATTTATCAAGTGCAGCATATAGAAGGTAAAAAATGTAAAATAAGCAACAATGTAAACATATACTAATTTTTTTTATTATGCAGGCTAACTGAGGAACAGCGAGAATCATATATACAATCTTTATTTGATGAAATTTGTGACGATGACGCTCCCTATGACTTTGACTCAGAAGATGAAGAAGAAATTCAAATCAATGACATTGAAATTGCTGATGACGATGCTGAAGTTTCGCAAAGTGCCGCAGAAGTATTACCTGATTATGCGGACTATGAGGATGATGAAGAAGACGATGAAGAAGAAGAAGTAGAAGAAAATAATGAATTACCTGCTAGTGCCGAAAAATTTGTTGCACGTGATGGTACTGAGTGGATGAAAGAACCAAATGTAAGTCGTCAGGTACTCAGACAAAATATTATAAGAGAACGTTCTGGACCAGCTAGATGCACTGAAATGTTGTCAATAGAGCAAACATTCAAATGTTTCATGAACGTTGAAATGGCTGATATAATTATGCGCCACACAAATAAGTTAGCAAAAGAAACTTATAATGCTTACAACAATGCGCATCCAAACACAACTCCTAAGTCATGGACGCCTGTGTCAATAACAGAGCTGTATGCATTTTTTGGCATACTTATTATGACTGGTGCGAACCATAGCAATGGAGAACATGTTCGAGATTTATGGAGCGTCAAAAACTATCCTTTATATCGCGCCACAATGGGAGTCAACCGTTTCTGTTCGATATTGCGGTTCCTAAGATTTGACGATAAAAACACTCGTGCAACACGCTTACTAACTGATAAAGCAGCACCGATCAGTGAGTTGTGGACGATGATGAACAATAATCTTGCTGCACATTACAAGCCCAGCTCATGCTTGACGATTGATGAACAATTATTTCCTTACCGTGGACGCACACGGTTTACGCAGTACATACCGTCAAAACCTGCTAAATATGGTATCAAGGTTTGGTGGATTTGCGATGCCACAAATGCATATCCACTGCATGGACAAATATATACTGGCCAAGCAGAAACTGGTAGGGAAACGAACCAAGGCGAACGAGTGGTGAAGGATTTGTCTGCCAAATACCAAGGAAGTGGCCGAAACATTACAATGGACAATTTGTTTACGACCTTGCCAGTTGCAGAACTGCTTCTCACCTGGAAACTCACGATCGTTGGAACTTTGCGCAAAAACAAATCATATATTCCTCAAGAAATGAAGCAGAACAAAAACAGGACAATTGGTTCAACGACATTTGGCTTCAAAAATAATGTGACAATGTGCTCTTATGTTCCCAAAAAAAATAAAGCAGTAATTTTGCTTTCGACCATGCATAATGATGCTGAAATAGCTGACAGTGGGAAACCTGAAATAATTGAATATTATAATCGTACCAAAGGTGGTGTTGATCGAATGGACCAAATGTTTGCGGAATATCCAACACAAAGACAAACAAAACGATGGCCACTAGCGATGTTCTTCAACATGTTGGACATTACAGCTCTTGCAGCCTACATTGTCTACGATTTGAATAACCCTATGTTGCCTTGGAGAACAAACAACAAGCGTAAGCAGATCCTGCGCAGCTTGGCTGAAGCATTGTGTATGCCCATTATTGAAGCCAGAGCCATAAATCGTCAAGTGACGCGAAATTTTTCGACTAAAATTGCTATTGAAGCATATTTCAACCGACCGGTGGAATCAATGGTGTCAACAGCAGCATCAACATCTGCCGCAGCGCGCACGCCAAAACCTGTGTCCGGATCTTGCTATTTATGTTACGCACAAGAGGAAAAACGCCGTAGAAAAACCAGAAAGCTGTGCGACAAATGTAAGAAGCCAATGTGTCTTGAACATTCGGTCACATCAACAAATTGCTCTATTTGCCATGATTTTCCTTAGATATAAGATGCATTTTTATAATTTTTATAATAAAAGTCAATAATATAATGTGTGAAATGAATATTTTTAATTTTTCAAATAAAAAAATAATATAAAAAATGTTTTTTTTTTATTATTATGAGGATTTTTACTATTGGGGTACAAACGTATCCCGGGTGTGTGTTTACGTATATAATGTGTTTGGAAGGCTGTAGCTCCTGAACCAATGGTCCGATCTGGTTCAAATTTTGAATTTGAACTCAAAACTAAATAATCTTCCTAGATCCGAAGTGGTATAGAGGTATAGCGGTTCAAAAGTTACAACACTTCAAAGTTGAAAGTGGATACATTTATACCCGGGTGTGTGTTCTAGGGTTAATAATTTTTTTTACGGATACAGGCATTTTTGAAGTTTCATAACTTGTAAAAATTACAAGCGTCGTTGCCACAGTGTGCTTTTTGAACACTGCATGTGAATTAATCGTAGCGCTTTCGACAGAAGCAGCGAATCAAAATGGTTTTTAAAGCTAAAGTAAATCCCTTTCAATTGTGGCCATTGAGGCACAATTATGCCTTGTCCTTAAAACAAATTGGTCAAAAGTAGAGTCCTTTGAAAAAAAAACATGGAAAATCCACGGAATTTATTCCAAAAGAAAAAATTTATGTATTTTTTGTTATACTAGTATTATAGATTTTGAGACGAGCAACACGATTCCACTGTTCAAAATTCGAACAAAAAATTTTAACACCGTAATTTAAAAAATGCACTATTTATTTGCATGCAGCTGTGCATCCTTCACTCAATCAACAAGTGCAATTCAATACCTTTAATTTGAGCCAAGTTAGAAGTCTCTAGGCCCTCTGAGAGCCAAGTTATAGCAATTTTAAACCACACTTCGAAACTGCTGTACTAGATTTTACTCCGAAATTAAAAAAAATGCGTAAAATGTCGAATGAAGTCCGAAGTTTAACTTCAGAATCGTAATAATTTAGCTCTCAACGGGCCTAGAGACTTTTACCTTGGCTTAAATTAAAGGTCTTGAATAGCACTAAAACTAACATTTTGTTCGAAGGATATAAAACTGTGTGAAGGATGCACAGCTGCATGCAAATCATAAAAAATGCAATATATAATGCCTTTTTCAAATTGTGGGGTTGAATTTTTTTTTCGTTTTTTAAACTATGGAATCGTGTTTCTCGTCTCAAAATCTAAATTATTGGTATAATAAAAAATACATTTTTTTTTGTTTTTTAATATATCCGTTGGATTTTGCATGTTTTTTTTCGAAGACCACTATTTTTGACCAATTTTTTTAAGGTCCAGGAGTGATTGTGGCTCAATGGCAATATTTTTCGTTCAAGGGCAATTACATTAGCTGAGCAAAGCCATTTTGTTTCATATCAAAATATTGCTTCTGTCGAAAGCGCTACGATTAATTATTATTATTTTTTTTTTTAATTATCCTTGCATTTATTTGTTGGATCTGCTTATTTTACATCTATTAAGCCTAACAAGTTTAAAAATCTTATGTCTACGCCCTGTTAGTTTAACGTCGCTCAACGAAAGGCTGGTAGATCTCTTCTTCGCAGGCGTGTTATATTTGTTGTGTTGCACAGGCCACTTACCAGTGGATTTGGGTGGTTACGCAGTTTTATTTTATATTTTTCTCTGCTGGTGTCGATTACAGATTTTACCATCGGTATACCAAGGTCCCTATGTATATTTTCATTGCGGACATACCGCGGTGCTCCCGTTAAGGCCCTTAGCGTTTTAGATTGGAATCTTTGGATCCTGTCAATGTTGGTTGCACAGGTCGTACCCCACAGTTGAATACCATACATCCATATAGGCTTATTGACTGTATTTTATACAAGTACTTTATAATCTAGTTTCAGTTTTGATTTACTGTTTATAAGCCAGTTCACGCTAGCTGACTTTAGCTTAATTTGTGTAATCTTGGTGGATATGTGTTTGCGCCAAGTTAGTCTCCTATCAAAGTGTATTCCTAGATATGTCACCTCATTGGCTTGTGGAATATGGACATTATTTAATTTGATNTATCTATGTATATTTTCATTGCGGACATACCACGGTGCTCCCGTTAAGGCCCTTAGCGTTTTAGATTGGAATCTTTGGATCCTGTCAATGTTGGTTGCACAGGTCGTACCCCACAGTTGAAT